ATTAGGTAGTGGTGATGGCTGCACAGCTTTGAACATACTTAAAACCATTAAGTTGTATACCTTAAACGAGTGAATTGTATGGAATGTGAATGATATCTCAATAAAGCTATCACCAAAGGCAGAGGGCAGGGGAGGTCACATGGTGCTGTATTCATCTGAAGGCTTGATTGGGCCTTAAGGATCTGCTTCCAAGTGGCTCACTCCTACAGCTGTTGAGTGAGCCCTCAGTTCCTCACCATGTGGGCCTTTTCACAGGGCTGCTTGAGTGTCCTTGAGTGTCCTCATGACATGTCCACTGGCTTCCCCAGAGAGAGTGATACGAGAGAGAGCAAGAAGGAAGGCACAATGCCTTTTATGACTTAGTCAGAAGCTACGTCATGTCCACCACATTTTATATATTAGAAACAAATGACTAAGAACAGCTCACACTGAAGGGGAGAGGAAGTAGGCTCCACCATTTGAAGGAAGGAGTATCAGAGAATTTGTGCACATCTTTAAAACACCACAGCTTCTAATGTTGTTCAGTTAGAATAGTTTCCATGGTCCCTCTGACTCCCCATCTCTCTTTCTCTTTTTTCTACGCATAGTTTAATAATCTGTTAAATTGAATCTAATGTGTTTATTCCTATCTACTGCGATGTCTAGGTTTTTTTTTTTTTTTAAGACTTTATTTATTTATTTGAGAGAGAGAGAGAGAGCCGCACAAGTTGGGGGAAGAGCAGAGGAAAAGGGAGAAGCAGACTCCCGGCTGAGTGGGGAACCCCATGCAGGGCTCGATTCCAAGACCCTGAGGTCATGACCTGAGCCGAAGTCAGATGCCTAACGAACTGAGCCACCAACTCCCCCTGAGATATCTAGTTTGAAACACTGTTGCTTCTCAGTATTTATTCCCTCAGACCTGGGGCTGGGCTTCGTTTATGCCACGGATGCTTGGGTCTGAACTCCTACCTGGAAATCTTATGAGGGATAGTCTTGTACTCAGATTCCTATTCCTTAGCCCTGGGATCTCCTGGAAGAAGACTGCCTTCTGGGCTTCCTCCCAGCTGTCAGACCTACCATCTGCCCATTGAGTTTCTTCTGATCTGGGCAGGGGCTGCCCCAGCCCCAAATAGGTGGATGAATTCTCAGGTGTGAGAATTCTGCAGCATTGGGGTGGATGCCACTGTCCTCCTGGGCAGCCCCCAACCAATGACTGGGCACAGCCAGGGCATTAGGGCCTGCCTGTTTCTGACCAGCTGGGGCTCTTCTATGGGCAATCTGCACCAGAGCTCCCCGTTGGCTGGCTGAGATCTGCTCAGAGTGTGACCGCGGTGTGATGCTCTTACCCAGCTCTCCGTCCCTTCTACTCTCTTCCCATAGATGTCAGACTTGCAACAGTCTGAAGGCTTTCCCTGCCCAATCCTGTTTCCACCCTATCCCCTTTATCTTTCACAGGCATTTCCTCCACTACATCTCTTGCACTTCCAACTCCATCTTGGTGGTGGCGCCCCAGAGGACCAAGCTGACACTCAGGCCCTAGCTCCCATGGGCTGCCAGACCCTGTCCAGGCAGGGAATGCATTCATCTCCATCTCCTGACTTAAGCATGCTCTGTCTCTCCTCCCCTCCTCTCTCTGTTCAGCATCCCC